CTTCTTTCCTCGTGTTTGTCCTTATCATGAGCACAGAGGGAAACATCCCAGCTTTCCTGATTGGAGCATCAGCAGCAGCCGCCGGTGTTACTCAACAGTTGAAAGCCTCGGGGTTTCCCAAGGCAGGGAGTGGCATCCCCTCTCCACTGGTGAACACATCAATAATCCCTCAGGCTGACTGACTGGCATGAAAATAAAGCAGGAAGACCTGTGGAGAAGAGGCAATTAGTGTTCACTCTAAGGTGGATGGGTTTAAAAGGTGGGTGAATCATGAGGCCCGGTTGGCTGAAGGTTCGTGTTGCTCTCCAACGCATCCATGGGGGTATGAGCGAGTGTGAGTCTGACACAGATGAAGTGCTTTGACTGCTGAGTTGAAACTCTCTATAAGAATCAGTTCATTTACTGTTTATCTTTATGAACTAATTTGCCATTTTAATGCACTGGTTTCCAGTACACGCATGGAACAATGCCAGCTGTCTTAAAGATAAGTATAAATGTAATTCGTGTAATTCGGCTCAGAGAGCATTTAGGCTGATGTATGAACAAACACTACAACCAGGGGGAACCTGCTGATGTTTCCAATATGCCCTGCAGCAACTCCAAAGCTTTCCTCGTCATGCCGTGTAGGAAAACAATCGAAAAACAAGACGTTGTGGTTTCTGTCTTTCACAACAGGTCTAAATACCTAAATGACGATGCAGGTCATGTCAGTGGTTGTGAAAATAACCTGATATGTATCCACAGACAAAACCCAGGTGCTCTGAGGCCTCCTGGTACGTGTCCTTTTTTTCAAGGCAGTTTTTTTATTTGATCATTTTATGTTGTTATTTTAATTTTGGCCCATGGCATGAATTCCCCCATTTAATGCCCAACAGTTCAAAGTCACAGGAGTCGGCCCGGCACCTCACTGACTTTCTTTGCCTCCCTCAGGAGCAGCACCTGATCAGATTTCATTAGCACACGGCTGGTTTCATATGTGCTACTGTTATCAAAATAAAACATGCCAGTCGAACATAAGCAGCCATCAGTTTGTAAAAAGAGAAGCTAGTTTGGTTTAAAATGTTCAAGAGAACAAAAAGAATTACTTATTTATACGGCGCCAAATCACAACAACGGTCGCCTCAGGGCGCTTTGTAGTGTAAGGTCGACCCTACATATATATACATATAGAGTGAGTATGGTTTCACTGTCAGCTAGTGAAGGTAAAAGTGCCAGTGCACGTTTTAGGTTTGCTTAACTTTAAAACATTAAAGTCATAAGAAAATGAGCAACAAGCTTTTTACAAACTGAGCTGATTAAATGTCTCGATGAAAAATCCTGAATTCTGATCTTTGTTCACTCAACCTTTCCAACTCCAAAGAGCATTTTATAAAAAGTCACACCTGTTCATAGTCTGTCGTTACTTTGGCAACAAGAAGATGTTTCTTTTAAAACATCTGAAGAAACAAGTTTGGACATTTTTCTGCTGAAAAACACAAAACTGGTGTGTTTGAACTGGGATTTGGATACATGCTGGTGTCTGTGGTAGGTAAAGCATAAAGCTCCGTTCTGACTGGGCTCAGCGCCCACGTGGAGCACAACGTTTTAATGCACCAGATAATCTTCAGCGTCATTTTAAAGAAGCCAACATGAACTTTTATCCAAATGATGCTCGTTTCCTGAGTGTCATGCATCACTCTTTCAGTACAGCCATCCAACAAGTGAAAATCAACAGGATCTCCTGGACTTAAACACCAGCACGGCCTTCTCACGCACATGTTCACTGAGACAGCACAGCAGCACCTGACACCCTGGGAGAGAGCACACCTCATCGCTGACTGTGTTGGAGCGTTGCTTTAAATGAGAGCGATGTAGGTCGTTTGCCTTTCATTCGTTTGGGGATCAGTGGACTTTGAGATCAATAAGAATGGGCAGAGTGAGGGAAGTGACACACACAGTCAATATGCATATCATGAATATTAGATGGTGAGAAAACAGAAGGATAATGGATAAAAATGAATCCACCGTGTACAATCGGTTAATCTGACAAATAACAGCTGAAACGAAACAATGACATAAAGTGTGTTTGTTGGACGAGCTGAGTGTTTATCCTCTACTTATAGTCTCTTCATGTTTCCCACAAGCTGCCACAGCGTCTTCAACAAATCCACTCCCCTGTCTGCCTTCACGCTGCGTCCGTGTGACTCATGTTTCTCGTGTTTATGTTGCGGCAGTACATCACCTAGTCGTGATGACGAGGACTTTGCCATAAGCCACAGCAGACCACACTATATCCACCCTGCTGGCACCGCTTCAGTGTTTTCATTCCATATGATAGGAGTCACACCGCATTCCTGTTACAACTTCTCTGTGGCACATAAAAATCTCCTCGGAAAACCGCAGAGCCATGTGTTTTGAATTTTCTCTTTGTTCCCATTTACAGCATCTCGCTCGCTCTCATTTTTCCTTTACTCTCTCACACACAAACGCTGATCGCTGGCTCTCTTTCTGTTGATAGGTCCATTTAGTTCTCGTGAAAGCATTCCATTTATGTGCATTTGAGGTTTATGGTTGTCACTGACAACCGGCTGACAGAGAGTGGCAGCCTCTATCAGCGTTGGGGGTTTCCAAAGGAGCTTACGAGACACAGAGCGGCCATTGATGGGGCGAGCTTTATGGACTCAGAGCCACCCAGAGACAGCAGTGTGTGAGAAACACACCGAGGAGACTTGGAAGCGTCCTCCTTTGGCCCTCACAAGCCTAAATTACAACACTGTGATCATCTGGACTTTGTCAACAAGAAGAATTTGCTCCTCTGTCGACTCTCTCATTGGATTTTCCGTCTACTTTTAGACGGATATATGAGGAGGAGGGTGGCTGTGATGAAACCGTTCCTTAGTTCTTCTTCTGCTCAGTCACTCACATGCACAGCGCTCTCCTGTGTTAAAATCCAGCGTTTCACCCACCTCGACCTTGCTTTACAGTAAAACTACACTCTGTGCTTTTCTTTATTTTAATCCTCTCGGGATAGAAATTGTGTCGCCTTTGCCACAATGAAAGATCTTCAGATTCCACCTTTCATTGAAGGAGACGAGGAGCACAGCACACTGTGAGGAAATGCAGGTGATGATCCTCACACAGTGAATCAGAGCGGCTCTCACACTGTGTTTGAGGTTAACAGATAATAAAATAACCGCTCACAGTTACCTCTTAAGATTCTTGCACTGTTGTATGTGATAAATGTAACGCAGTAGAAGATACAATGAAATTAAAATGCAAAGTGTCCCAGCATCCCACAGAGCAGTAGTCAGGGTTCTTTGTGTACAGGCACTTGCAGTGCCAAAAATAAATAGACAGACCAAGAGTAACATGCTTGTTTATGTTGGTGCTAACGTTGGTCATATAGACGCATGAAGGTTTCCGTGTCTGAAACCTAAAGCCAGCTCCGGATCCAGAATGACCCTCTGCCAGGACCTCTGGGAGTGGGTGGGCTCCTCTGTCGCTCATCATATTCTGGTCTCAAAGCTTCAAGATGACAGCAAAATATCTACATCACCGTGATGGCGTCTGTGGTTGGTCTCAGCCGCTGCCATGGAGAAGACTGAAGACTGAATAAATAAAGTCTTTGTAGTGACTTGGAAACAAGTGCAGCCACTGTGTGCTGTTGTTTTCTGATGTTTCATGTTTCATCTGCTTCTTCCTCGCTGTGCTGATCTCCACTATCTGTTCAAATTAACTCCGCCCCCAGCCATGACTTTTTCCAATACCTGCACTTAGTGTCAGTATTGCTACTGGGCAGCATGCTTTGACTTTTTGAGGACTGGCTGCGTGTACATCTCTGTAGGCTGTATTCCCACAGCCCCTCTATGACCTGTGCAAACTGACGCCACGGCAAAGCCAAAAGTCCCAGACTGAGATACTGGGACAGATGCGTCTTTTCTTACGTTCACACTGGGAGGAGCTACGATGGGAGGAAAGTATGCAAATAAAGAAGGCAAGCAGATATGTTAGCGTAATGACACGCACATACTACACAACCTTTGCTGCTCTTATAATTACTGCAGGGATTTAATTACCGAACACAAACCTTGGTGTTTAATCTTTTTCTGCATTATGTTCTATTATTCTATTAACAAGCAGACTGATAACAATCTTTTAACTATAACCAATCAACACTAATCACACAATAACAAGATGGCCACGATCGTTCTTGTAGCCACATTTAAAAAATGCAAAACAATATCAGGGTTCATCAGGAAAAGATGAACATCAGCTGCGTTTTACAAGGTGAACGCAGTATTTTATCGTGTTTAAACCGGATCAGTTCATAACATTTACACCCAGAAATGCATCCTTTGGATGGAGGTTTCATTCAGATACTTCACTGAATGAAGCTACAAAAATAATAATGCAAAACAAATGGGAGAAAATATTAATTATACTTTCAGTTCTAGTTTGTGTGCTCCTGGTAAATTATTAGTTTTGCTTTCCTAATAAGAGGCAGTCGGACTTTCAAACATTAACCTGGCAGAAGTTTCTAGACAGGCTTGTTCTGATGGACGGACTTTGTAGTGGGATTAGAAAAAAGTCCGTCAGTTCAATTGTTTCTTTAAAAAAATGTGACTATTTTAAAACACAAGTCTATAAATGAATTTGTCTGCTGTATAGAAAGGGTTGCTTTTAGAGTATTGTCGGAAATTTCACCACACACACACACACACACACACACACACACACACACACACACACACACACACACACACACACACCTCCATGATCGGAAGAGCGTTCTAGAGGGAGTGACTTGATCCAGGCGGCGTCC